CCAGCGAGGAAGAGAAAGACAATAGTATAAATTTCGTTGATGTATTACTTCCTAGAAGGATAGACGGTTCCATTAAACGAAATATGTGTAGAAAGAATATATGGACTGGTCAGTATACTTATTTTAATATCTTTACACCTCTTCAATACAAAATAAATTTGGTTAAATGTTTCAGCCACAAAAACCAGAAAGTAATAATAAAAAAAAGGAAGAAATTGTGACTAAGCTAGTAATAAACCTTATATCTGAGACTGGACTTTAAAGGGGACATAGCTGTTGACTTTTTACCACGTCGATTCAAAATATCTGTTGAAAGGACGTTTCAAACCTCCAAGTTACCCATAACATTCTCAACAAAACAAGTACTTACACAACTAATCAATGATAGGTTACCGATACCAATTAAACTGCACCTGTGGAGGTAGTTACATAGGCCGTACTCAGAGTGCTTCATCATTGCGTGTTCGTGAAAATGTACCACCATGGTTGGAAAAAGGAGTCACCAAATCGATTAATAGTACCATGCTTTCCATTTTTAAGAATCTACCTCAAGGAGCTAGATTACGACTACTCTACATAACCGAAGCCATCTGGATCAACATCAGAAAGTCAAACTTATGTATCCAGAAGAAGCATATCTAATCTCTATGTTTACTTTGGCCTACGACTGGACCACTGGAGACCTAAACTGAATATTATCAACCTCCCCCCCTCCTTTTTTATCACCTCTATCTTAATCTTCACATCCACCATTCCCGATTCGTTTGTCGTAATTACCTTGATAACATCCCTTTTATCACATGTTATATTCAAACAACAATCTCTTTATTATTACCATTACTATTTATCATTATTATCTCAATTAACAAGATGAAATTCCCCTACTATCCATTTTATTCACACATTTTTGTTATATAACTATTATACTGATTGTGACTGGACACTTTATTGTAAATCATTTTGACTGTGAATCTGAGTAACACAGGATCGAATCCGTCAGGGAACACCAGTTCCCTCAAGATTACAGGTATACCTTGCTGACGAGTGCCAAGTAGCACGAAACACGGGTCCAGAGTTTCCTGTTGACCACCTCCAATCACCATCTTATTTCATTTTTACCTTTATTAATTGACCTTTCTAATTTACAAATAACGCAATTTTGAAGCATCTCTGTCGTAATAGCTGATGCAAACGTTCATCATTTTTAACACATAACATTGTCAAATTATCAGGAGAAGTTTTGTGGAGATTTCCGTATTTCCATCGTTGAAATCATGAGTCAAGTGAAGCTAGGCCATCATGGAAAATCTGGAAGCACTGGACGGCCGTTTCCTCCTATTATGGGACTCCTCAAACGAATTAATATGTCTCACATTTTGACCTTTGTAAAAGATCACAATATACATGGACTTATAACTGTAGAACCTGATGATGAAGTTATTGAAAACAACAACTTGTATGAGCATTCACATTGTAATATATCATTTGCTAGTTAATGAATCACAGCCTATATATTATAAAAGTGGACTCAAATCATTCCAACACTACTGAATTATTAAATGATCAGTAATTTTAATAGACTAGTAACTAACTAGATGAAAGTTAATGTTTTTGAATAAGTAGTGTATAGATAGATTATCATTATTGTCATGTCCTAGCGAAGACATAAGTACGGGTAACTTCCAGGGCCTATGAATGGACGATTATTCTACATATATATTCTTATTGTTTGACTATTGAGTAATTAGATTGCGTATATCTATATTCATCTTGTTATAAGCTTCATTTTGACCTGTAAATTGTTATTATGCAATTTACAGTTCATAAATTATATTCAGTTGTCGGTTGAGTGCTCTGGCGTGAGACTGGTAGGTCCTGGGTTCGAATCTCGTGAGTGAGGGATCGTGGACGCGCACAGCTGAGGAGTCCCGTAATAGGACGAAACGGCCGTCCAGTGCTTCCACATTTTCCATGATGACCTAGCTTCAATTGACTATTGATTTCAACTATGAAAATATATTCGGTTTATTGACTACAGTCTCCCATGTTCACAGACGCTTTTGGGCTTGATCGTGTACAAATATTATTTTCTATTTGATGGTATGGTGCAATCCGTTTGGTTGATATATAAACCAAGCATGTCTGAAATAAATGATTCGTATAACGGAAGCTGCAATTGGTGTTTTTGGACTCAATTGGAAGGGCTAGGCGGACAAGGAACCAATAAGGACACTAGACTACTCATACTGGTCGAACGACATTGATTTGGCACAGTTCTAAGATTGGATAAGCCGTATTTCGAATGGGGGATAAGTCACGTGATAAAAGCCGGACATAAGATCAATAACTAATAAGCATACGTCCTTTCTTTTATAATGTCATAACAAATTGGCGATGTAGGAGCATAAGAGATGATTAAGCGAATGTTGTAACAATAGTTAACAATCAGTAATGGTAAATCTTTTAGTGAAATAATAATAAACGATAAGTAAGCATAAGAAATAGAAAATAAGGTAATCAGATGTATTTCCTTACGCCTGTTAAACCTCATCGAGGTACACAGGCCAACCAGCAGCAATCTCCATCCAACTCTAGCATGGACAATCTTTCCAAGTTGTTTCGATTTGATATTCATCCTTTTCATGTTTGCTTCAAATTAATGACACAATATGTTTGTTGTGTCTTTAAAGACTACCGATTATTACGTGATTTATTCGCCAATCGAAATACGAGTTATACAATCTTAGTACTGTGCCAAACCAATGAAATTCGACCGGTATGGGCAGCCTAGCGTCCTTACTGGTCCTTTGTTCGCCTAGGTCTACCAGTTGAGTCCAGAACATCGATGACAGCTGCCACTATGCAAATCATTTATTTCAGACATGCTTGGTTTATATATAAAGCAAACAGACCGCAAGACACCACCAAATAGAAAATATCATTTGTACACGATCAAGCCAAAATGTAGCTGTGAACATGGGAGACTGTAGTGAATAAACTGAACATAACTTAAGAACAGTAAGTCGTATAATAATAATCTATGGATCAAAATGAAGCTTATAATAAGATGAATAGAGATACATACAATCTAATTTCTGAATTCACTTAGTATTGTTTGTTTGAATCTTCCCATTGATGCTTAGGACTGCAACTGGTCAGTCTCTTATAGGCATATGTGCATACTGTGCGTATTACCTCGATATAGCCTAAATTCACAAGCATGGTAAGCAAAGATGGATAGTGGCTAGCAGTAGAATCCATTTGGACGCGCGTTTCGTCCTATTTTGAGTCCCAGAGTAAACATCAACTCTGAGATGCAGGTACATCCAGCTGACGAGTCCCAGATAGGACGAAACGCACGTCCTGAATTCCACTGCTAGCCACTACACAGTATTGCTTATAATATCTGAATAGTTATACAATAAGAATGCATATAGAATAATAGTCCGTTTATACATACCGGAAGTTATCCGTATTTCCATAATCATAACTAGTATATAACAGCAGATAAGTGTTTATAAATACTTATACCATTTTCATGATGGTTGTGGTAGTTCTCCACATTTCAGCTCCATATAGTCAAACTGTCTTGACGTTCACGTTGATGACTGTGATTTTAAAAAGGAACGAATCGAGCGAAGAAATTTCTTTTCAATTAGTTTTTCATCATGGCTCTACACTAATATATATATATATATATATGATTTACAATAATTAAATAACACTCATGGAGTAGATACGTTACGTAATGATTATATAATGACATCGATTATAAACTAACATTAATTGGAAGAGAAGGATTAATACTAATCAAAGTAGTTATTCGAAAATCAAGCTGTTGCTACGTTGCATAATATATAAAAAAGAGAAGTAAGAACTAATGCAACGTAGCAACAGCTTGATTTTCGAATAACTACTTTGATTAGTATTAATCCTTCTCTTCCAATTAATGTTAGTTTATAATCGATGTCATTATATAATCATTACGTAACGTATCTACTCCATGAGTGTTATTTAATTATTGTAAATCATATATATATATATATTAGTGTAGAGCCATGATGAAAAACTAATTGAAAAGAAATTTCTTCGCTCGATTCGTTCCTTTTTAATTAACAAATGTCAAAATGGGAATTTTCACTTTATTAGACTGTGATTTTGATGTTGGTTGACAGCTGCTTTAAGTACCATATGTTCTTCGATTGTAGGAATGCTGTCCTTACTTTTCCATTCCTTGCATTCATATATATGTATATGATACCTTACCGATGTTTACCGTTTAAAACTCACATTTAATAATAGTAACTAACTACTATTCATCTCTATATGAACTGCTAGAAGACTTTCACTGAATGTGGAGTCTTCTGATCTCAATGATCATCAATTAAAGGTATCTGGGTGATGAGTTTTCCATGGTCATCTAGCTTCAATTGATTCATGATCTCAACTATTTAAACTTATGTGTTTAGAACAAGTTCAGACTCTAATCGAGCCACTTTTATAGGAAACAATCTTTTGTAAGACCTGTTCTAAATAACATTTCAGAAATGATACTCTTATTTTATGCTTCTAAGATTAAAGAGAGGAATACAACCATTCACCAATGTCTTCAGTGAGTTGATATCTTTCAATAGACCTAGTTGAACTCATGATTAACTTATGATCTTAATTGTAAGGATGGCTCGTTGGTAAACTCTAGGAAGCCTCAAGAAGGCTAGAAAGAGCCGAAAACATTCCATCTAATTACTGCTAGGGGAATATTCTAGAATGTCGACGTATAGCTTCCCCATTGGATGGATAAGAATGATCCCCTATGTGCCTATTGGTTGTTCAAAATGATGATTTACTCTCAGTCAAAAAAAACTATAAATACATGAGATTTCTGTACTACACTGTTTTGGGGAATAAAAGTTCCTAATTACTAGTCTTCTGTTTTCTCTATTGCGATGTTGCGGGTTCTATCGTCCAAATAGTCTACTAGTAGGCGGCATTGTAAGAATCAAAGTTCTAGATATAACATCAACTATATAAAATTACTATAATCTCCACAACCCCCCCTTCCGATAAAGAGAGTAACAAACAAAATGTTATGAGAATTAGAGTATAATTTTAAATATTCAGAAAAGTTATTGACAACAGACCCCTTTTAGAATAACAACGGAATAGAAGTGAATACTTCTTTGACTTCAAAAAAAAGAAGAAAAAAAGAAGAAAAAACACAACACATCTCCTCATCACTTCAAACAGATTAAAATGGGGGGATGTACAAATGTAGATTTATTCATGGGGTGGTTTACAAAAAAAGAAATAACATCTTTTACTACAACATTCACTATCTTTTATACAGACTGAGCCCAAACTTAAACAATCTACACATTTTCCACTGAATGGTACATCAAGTTTACATACAAGATCACGGCAACATGGATGAAAGAAATTTTTTGCACATCGTTCACCTTTTTCTAAACATTTTAAATCTGAAAATTCTAATGAATAATAGAATAAACATAAAATGATGAATTATGCTACTTGTATAAACAGATATAAGTAGTATGTAACACTAATCAGAAGTAAAATGGATAGTCAGTCGGTCAGTCAGCTACAACGTAGGATCAGGTACATTTATACATCGGTCCAAGTCGCCATACCTCACTCATTAGCACAACAAGATGAACACCGGATTTATAGAATTAGTCAATTTAGTGGTGGTAATATATAAAAGAAAGATTGTATGTAAGGATATAGTATAGGAAGAAAGACAGATATGAAGCAATTTTAATCTTAAGGTTTAAGGAAAGATAAAGAGTGTATACACCAACGCCATTGTGATTGATTCTGAGTCATGTCACCTAGAGTCTCTAACCATTGATAGCAGAGGATTAAGAAGAGATTAAGAATGTAAATAGAGATTTATCATACAGATGAAAGATGATGTATTATGAATGTAGATCAGAGTGGGTTTTGTGGAGAATTTAGTATTTTCACAGTTGAAATCATGAGTCAATTGAAGCTAGACCATCATGGAAAACCTGGAAGCATTGGACAGGCATTTCGTCCTATTGTGGGACTTCTCAGCAGTGCGCACCCACGATCCCACCTCGCGTGCGAGCGCTTGCGCCTAACCTATAGACAACTGAGACGGCATCCAACGGTGTTAACGTCTAACTTCAATCAATCGACGAAACTGAGAAACCGTCCACCATTGTCTACAGTGAGTTAATATCTCACAACAGAGGTTAAGCGCTCGCGTGCGAGATTGATAGGTCCTGGGTTCGGATCCGATGAGGCGGGATCCTAGATGCACACTGCCGGGGGGTCCCATATTAGGATAAAACGGCCGTCTAGTGTTTCCAGGTTTACCATGGTGGTCTAGCTTCAATCGACTGAGTATAACGACAATCATAACAATAAAATAACATAGAGAATCTATCATTTCTATTATATAATAATAGATTGATAACATACCTAGAATGCATGTAGTTTCTTTTGTAATGAATATTGATAAAATGAATAATGAGAATAAGAACGATTTGCACATAACTGACATTGTATAACACTAAAGTATACCAAATATCTTTATATTATTTAATTCTTACTCTAACTTTATATATATACATACAGATTCGATTGAATATGCGTAGGGGGTAAGGTGTGGGAGTGGATGTAGGGTGATGATGGGGGGTGTTGGTGGTGGTGGTGGTGACGGGAGGTGTTACATCATATTATTTTTACATGATATTTTAAGGAGAGAGTGAGAAAAAAAGGGTTTCATTAAAATTTATTTTTTTATTACTTGAATATCAATAGTTATCATGGTTACATGAGGACTTTGACCTAAATTGAAAATAAAATATAATACATATAATTATAACTACTTATTTAAAAACAGTAAAATCTTTTGATTACCATATTAGGTCAATTTGTAGATTAGAGTATATACATATAGATAGATAGATATAATGTAATTATTACAAATCTTATTGAATCGGTTATAGCTGATGAGTCATGTTTTTGTCTAAATCATGTCAACTATTATTCATTTGAACTTGTTTAAATCTAACGACTAGTTAGTGTAAATAAAATATATAAACATAAGTGTATTCATACTTGAAAGCGTGAGTCCATTGAAGCTAGACTACCATGAAAAACCTGGAAGCACTGCTTGACGACCGTTTCGTCCTATTATAGGATTCCTTAGTGGTAGTTCGCATCTAGGATCCCGCCTCACGGGATCCGACCCCAGGACCTATCAGTCTAGCACACGAGCGTGGCGACATTAATGTGTTACCCACAGATAACTAGATAACACAGATGCTGCCTTCCCACAAAGGGTCAGGAAAGTTCGACACTATGAATTCATATCTCGCCGTATCCCACGGACATCCGCCATCAGCGGTAACAACAAGCACGGAGCAAATACAAAAAAGTCGTGTGACAGCATCAAGTAGTTTTCTCTTGAGCACTGAGATTACGTTCTCAGCCTAACAAAATCAACCGTAATCCAAATTCCTTTGCAGGTACCTCTAGAAGAACCTTTCCACGATGTGAGCAACCGGGAAGTGATAACGGCCCTAATGCCTCTAACAGTACAAAATAGATGTAAATTAATTATCAGAAGGGGTTTTGTGGTGATTTAGTATTTTCATAGTTGAAAGCGTTAGTCAATTGAAGCTAGACTACCATGTAAAACCTGGAAGCACTGCTTGACGACCGTTTCATCCTATTGTGGGACCCCTCGGTGGCAGTGCACATCCACGACCTCACTTCACGAGATTCGAACTCAGGACCTATCAGTCTCGCGCCAGAGCATTTAACCGATAGACCATTGAACTGGCCGGCATCTAATGGTGTTAATTTCTAACTTCAACCAATCCACAAAGTTGATCAACCGTTTACCAATTGTCTTCAGTGAGTTCCTATCTCACAACAGACGTGGTTTGAACTCCACTGGTCACTGCTTCTCACTAGAACTCCTGGATGTAGTTCTCGAAGTCAGTCACTAGTGAGCATATGATTATATTAATTATCAGAGGGGGTTTTGTGGAGATTTATTATTCAGAGAAATTATTAGAAAGGGGGGTTCATGGAGATCGTGTTGATTTTAGTGAAGATGAATTCATGAGTAAATGTAAGGTAGTCAACTATTGAGGAAGTGTAATCACTGGACGGCTGTTTTATCATAGTATGAGACTTTTCAGCAATTCTGATCCACGATCCTGCAAGCGGGATTCAAACCCAGGAGCTTCGATCTCTCTTTGGGACGCTTAACCTGTACACCGCTTAGCCTTCATCCGACGGTGTTAATATCTAACTTCCATCGATTGATGATCTTGTGTAATCATTCATCCATTGTCTGAAGTAGATATCTGTTCTACCATACACTGCTTGGACTCCACTGGTCATAGTCCAGTGCTTCTAAGTTTTCAATGGTGATCTAGCTTACATTGACTAGTGAATTCATTTATTCAGAGCTAGTCTCAATTCATCTTTCATATCTATCTGTTCATCTATAATTTTTACCTTCTTTCATGTAACAAGTAATATCAGTTTCTTGATTAATCATAGAATGACAGAAATTTTAAGCATCACTTGAAAATTATTGGATAATCCATTTATCAAAAGGAGATTTTGTGAAAATTTTAGTAATTTTATATAGTTGAGATCATGTGTCAATTGAAGCTAGACCACTATGGAAAACCTGGAAGCACTGGACGGCCGTTTTGTCCTACTGTGGGATTCCTCAGCAGTGCACATTCACGGTCCCGACTCGCGAGATTCGATCACATGACCTATCGGTTTCGTGCGAGAGCACTTAACCGATAGACCACTGAGTCGGCATGGTGGTCTAGCTTCAATTGACTCATGATCTCAACTATGTATAATCCATTTAGTCCTTTTTTCATTTCTATTTGTTGCAATACATTTTCATTTGAACCAAAAAAGATGTGTTTTTTTAATCTTGATTACTGGAATTTGTTTCAATCTTATTGTCAGTCTAACTGACATCAGTCATTTGTGCTCAAAAAATGTCATGTAAGAATTAACAACTCTTCTAATCGAACGCTTGAATCAGTTTCCTGAGCTCATCTAATGACCTCAGACTAAATGTACATGGCAACTTGAACACAAGAGGAAAGGGGTGAAATATGGAAAGAACGCTTTACTCCAAGGTTAAGTTATGAACAGAAAATCGAGGGTATTTATAATATTTCAGATTGTTTCAGGATTGTGGAAGTTCCTAGAACCACATTAAATGTAGTAGTAGGATAGGTAGTTACCCAGTCAAACACATGACTCTGCACTCTCTAGATGCTTCCGATAAGCTTTTATTCAACGCTGATCGGATAAAATGTTTCTTAGCGTTAATAAGGTCACTCTGGACTCTATCGAGGAATCCTTTAAATCACTTCAACAAGAATCCGCCCAAACATTTAGCAGTGGTTTTAGTATATCTATTAAAGAACATTCAAGAAACACAAGGAATGATGATGATAATTATGATACTGATAATAGAATAATCGAATACAAACAAGTAATTGAGATTTATGTGAGAAAATCAGAGTTGAATGTATCATACTGACGACCAAATCATTCATTCCTTATTGAATTAGGTAACCATTTTAGCACTCTTGTCTGTCGACAATGTCTTGTTATACTAGGTTTTCAAGTACTTATACGAGTCAGAATTAGCTGGAATCATCATACTAATATAATTTTACATTCATCTTTCTCTGCTGATCCAGTCAATTTCGCTTACCACTGTTACATAATGAGATCAGAATGATACGGATTCACAGTTTATATGAATTGTAGTGAATAACTCGCTTAACTAACAAATAACAAGCTTAATAATTTTACAGAAAGAAATTCATCTTGATAATCAAAACTGAAAAGCATCTCATTGACTCTATGATGACAACAATGAGACATGTTGAAATATAGAAGCTTATTTACTTAGTGAATGTTCTGTCGACAGATTACTGTGGGAGAGAACAAACCAACTTCCAGTTGAGAGAGAAATTAAGAAAAGAAGTTGGAAAAGGATAAGAAATACGTTGCGGAAATCATCAAACTGGATCACGAGGAAAGCAATAACTTGCAATCTTGAAGGCAAACAGTAAAAAGGAAGGCCAGTTAACACAATGCGTCGGCAATTGGAAGCAGACATGAAACGGATAAAAAGCAACTGGAAACAAGTGGAAATAAATGTTCGGGATAGAGTTGGATGAGGGATGCTGGTGGTTGGCCTATGCTCCTCCATGAGGCGTAGCAAGTGTAAGAAAGTAGGTAAGTAAATGTTATGAATCATTGTCTCTCTAAGATATCCATAACAGATTCATAAAATGACTAACGTCTGCTCTAATTGTGAAAATCAACCTCCCTAATGAATTTAAATGGACATTTTCAGTAGATACTTGAAGATAAGTGTTGGTTGATCTATGCTCCTTCATGAGGAGTAACAGGTGTAAGTAAGCACATAAATAATAATTTGAATAGTTTGTATAAACAGTGTTGGTCGGTAAATAATATCAAAATAAGTATATCACCTTTAATCACAATAGATTGATCACTGGGTGGTGATCAATGTCATGAGTGTCAAGTCCTTCTTAGTGCTGATCAAATGCTATCGATCAAGTTGCAATGTGGCCACTAGTCTAGGTGACTCGACGCTGCGTGCACAATGTTGAGATAAGATGGTGGTTGGAGGTAGTCAACTATAATTATATGGAAATAGATTGTTAAGAATAATATTGAAATTCAACTATAAAGGAAAACATCGGATGCACAGCTGCCGAATTAGTTTATGGCACAACCTTAACGTTACTTGGTCAACTGGTCAACCATGAGCCTACAACTCCAAGGAATTCTAATCGCTTCGTAAGCCGCTTGCTACAAACGATGCAGAACATCAAAGCAATATCCCCACGAGAACATAACAATCGAGTTCAACTTGATAAACATCTTGAAACGTGCAAATTCGTTTTCGTTCGAGTTGACGCCGTAAAAAAGCCACTGAAATCACCATATAAATGTCCCTATAAAGCACTCACAAGTACTTCAATATCAACAGAAATGGGAACAAGGTGACCATTTCTATAGATAGAATAAAACCAGCTTTCTACGTAGCCAATCAAGTCAAAGAAGTCAACGCTGACGACCAACAACACCTCCCATCAGTTACTGAAAAACCAATGGAGGAGGACAAACATAGCCTTAGACCTTGTTTAACATGCCTAGGCGTTATGTACATTTTGAAAACTAGCAAAATCAAAAAACATTCATTGTTATACATTACATGGTTACGTTTACTCAATTTTCTTCACATATACTTATAATTCATTACATTACTTCACAACTACTTGTTTTGCCACGTTTACTTAATAATAAACGAGTGAACGGTAGTTAATTATTCATTAACTGTACTCAAGAACAAACAATCCAATTTTAAGTTCATGAGAATATTTTATATTACTAACGTTCAGGTCATACCTATCTTCACCATTATTTTCTTCCATTATTACTGTAAATATTATTTTTGCATACATGTATATACTGTAGACCATCAACTTTGATGATCTATG